ACTAAGATACTAATACACAAAGCTTTATTCCTTCCACCCCAGACTCTTCCTGTATCACAAAGTGTTTTTTAATCGCTATTTAAATCTGCCCTCCCTCTGGCATGCTGCCGGGGCGTGCAGACCCTCTCAGGTGCCTGAGGGCCCTACCAACGTGTCAGTGTGACCGCAGCCGAACACATGCCAGCCTTCTCCTACGGGCCACCAGACCCATGCACCATGGCCAAATGTCTCCTCACCCCATGGGCCTATCACCCCAAACCAGAGTAAAGAGAAGACTACCAAAGACCACCACCTGAAAGCTCATAGGAGACCTATCACATCCCAGGGTATTTCCATGAGGCACTAAGTATGGGAATCATTGTGGGTGAGAGACTTCCCCCCAAAAAATCACTAAATCATGCCATGCTGTTGTCACCAAGCCCTACTCCAAATGCCACACCATATCCACACCCAAACCCAATCCACACCATGGCTGATGGGAAGGCTATCGAGGGCCCCACAGCATAAAGGGACAGGGAAGTAGGTGGCCAACAACTCTTCCCTCAGAGGAGAAGGTGGCAGGAATTGGGGACACATGTGAGACAAAGCTCCGTCATGCCATCAGAATTCACTTACAAAACACAAATTTGCAGATTATTAAGGAACTCAAGTTGGCAACCACAGAGCAATAAACCCCAATGGCATGCATGGGCTGTACATCTACAAGGCCGATGCTGCCTCCTCTCACACTGATTCTCTCAGTACGTGGCAGCAGTCCCGGCTCCATATCCACTCCAGAAGCCTCCCTGCCCCCACGAGAGAGGCACCGAGTGCTGTTGGGGCCACAGGAACGTGTCCCACAGGCACTGCTCCGACCCCGGTGCTCATCCTCCCCCACCTGGACACCGGCTTCCTGCCTCACCCCGTCGGACCATCCGCCACTCCCATCAGGGGTCGTTCCCAGGCAATGCAAGAACACATGGCCACCCTCCTCAAGAACGTTCACTGGCTCACCGCTGCCACCTGAACCAGGTCCACCCATCTAATAAGCACATTGAAGACCTGCCACCATCTTCATATTCTCTGTCTTTACTCTCAAACTTCCTCTCCCCTCATGTAGTCTTTCTGACAACATCACTAAACACATGCTGTAGGCTCACATCCACCCTGCCAGCCTGCAGAGTCCCCTCCCTCCGCCTCGTCTAGGTGAGCGCTTACCCACCATCCAAGGCTCCCTCACAGGTCTGCTCCTCCTTCCCTGGTGAATATTCGCCCTCATCCCTCTGCCTTCAGCTGCACCCGACACGCCCCTCTTCACTCCATTTCATTAACTCATTATCCACATACTTACTCAGTTCCTACTATGTGTGTGACCTGCCATAGGCACTGGGGTACAACTAAAATAAAGCTCCTTCCTCAGTGAACATACATTTATGAAGAAAAACCAAAAAGCAAATGAATAAGTAAAATACATTGCATGTGAACTGGGCTATAGAGGAAAGTAAAGCAGAAAGGAATAAGGGCTGTGGCTGGAAACTACAATATCAAACAGGAAAGGAGGTGAGGAAAGAGTTCCCATGGGAGCTTTAGAGGAAATTCCTGAAGCAGGGGAGAGAACACACCCTGCGACCTGAGGTGAGAGGACTGTCCCTGGCAGAAGAAACAATAGGTGCAAAGGCCCTGAGGTGAGACTGTGCCTGGAGTGTTTAAGGAACAAGGATGTCAGCGAGGATGCAGATAAAAAGGATAAAAGGTGAGAAGAGCGATGACAAGGAGCCAGATCTCCTGTGTCCCTGAGTCAAAGACAAGGACCTTGAATTTAACTCAAAAATCATGTGAACATGGAAGGCTTTTTTGAAAACAGACCTGAGAACTGACCAGCTGTTCTTTTTTTTCCATGTCATCCCCCAGTACCTGTGCATTTCTATGGGTCTGTGGAGGTTTGCTTACCTCTGTCTGACCCAGAGAGGTGCCAGTGCCAGTCGGTGTTTGTGCAGTAGAATATACAGGTGAGTAAACCCAAGGCTCTCGGTGCATGTCTCCCACAGGCTGGCTGACTGCGGCCTCACTGCAAAGGGCTGCCAGGACCTGGCCTGCGGGCTGAGTGCCAGCCGGTGTCTGACCCAGCTGGACCTGAGCTTCAACAACCTCCTGGACGCCGGAGCCCAGCACCTTTTCGAGAAGCTGACAGTGCCCACCTGCAAGCTGCAGCGACTACTGTAATTGCTGCTCATGGGCACTCACTGGAAGAAGGGGGCAGAGAGGAAGTGAGAACGTGGCTTAATGGGGTGATGTGCTGGGGAGCAGGGGGCTGCCCTTGCGTCGAAACGCACCAAAGCATCCCCTGCCAGCTGAGCAGGAGGATGAGTTAACAATTAGACCCAGTGTGCAAGTGGAACGTTGCGGAATCGTACCAAGTTGATGTGGAGAGTAGCACGGTTGGCTAGAGACACACCCAAGTGAGAAACTCTGACTTGCTGCATCCTTAGTGGTTCCTTAGCAACAGTAGTAAGTCACAACCTCCTAGGTTACTACAACGCAGACACGTCTCTGTCTGCCTTTGTTATCACCAAGGATGCCCAGTGGGCCACAGGCACTGGAAAGGGAAACCAGAATCTAGTGCCCCAAGGAGAGGGCTTTGTGAACAATGAGGTTGGGCTCATGCACATCTCTCCCACAGGCTGGTCAGCTGTGGCCTCACGTTTCGCTGCTGCCAGGGCCTGGCCTCCATGCTCAGTGACAGCCCCAGCCTGACAGAGCTGGACCTGCAGCAAAATGACCTGGGCAACCTGGGAGTTAGGCTACTCTGGAAAGGGCTGAAGCAGCCCACCTGCCAACTCAGTCACCTATGGTAAGTCCTTGTGGGTCCCTGCACGGCAGAGATCAGGGACCGGAAGGGAGAGGAAGGAGAAGGAATGTGAGGATCTGAATTGGAGAAGGCAAGTAAAGGGACAGAAAATGAATTGTCAGCCTGCGTTCCCTACGAGCTCCACCACTTACTTGGGCCAAGAGATGTGAGCAGGTCTTCACCTAAGACTCAGTTTCCTCATGTATGTTAGACCCTCATATCCACCTCATACATTGTGATGAAATCAAACACAAGTAAAACCAGGACAGCTCTGGGAGCAGAGTTGAGGGGATCAAACGATAACAACCAGCGAGGCCACACGTTCCAGGGGACGCCCCTGTCCACCTCCCCACCCCAGGATGCGCTCCCTGCCTTGCTTCGTTGCCTCATCCCTCACTCCCTCATTCCCTCATTCCATGCCTCCCATGTACCAAGCAATGAAAGGAACACATGAGCACCCCCCTCAAGAACGTTTACTGGCTCCTCTTGCCGCCTGCACATGGTCCCAATATCTAATAAGCACATTCAAGAACTACCAGTATCTTGATATTTTCTGTCTTTACCCTCAAACTTCATCTCCCCTCATGCAGCCTTTCTCTCAACATCACTAAACATTAGGTGCTCTGTGCTCACATCCACTCTGCCAGCCGGGAGACTCCACTCCTACCCGCCATTGAAGGCGCCCCTCATCTGCCTGCTCCTCCTTCCCTGCCTGCTCAAAGTTCACCCCGCGTTCCTCTGCCTTCAGCTGCACCCAGCATGCCCCTCTTCAATCTCTTCCAATCATTCATTAAGCACACACTTGCTAAGTTCCTACTGTGTGTGAGACGCTGCACTAGGCACTGGGGTACAACGGGAAATGTAAACTCCTTCCTCATGGAACACCCATTTGTGTGGGAAAAACCAAAAAGTGAATAAATAAGTAAAATATGTTGCATGTGATGTGGGCTACAGAGGAAAGTAAAGCAGAAAAGAATGGGGACTGGAGCTGCAATTATAACAGGGAGGGCGGTGAGGCACGGTTTCCCCAGGGGAGCTTCTGAGCCAATTCCTGAAGCAGGTGAAACAACAGGCCCTGAGGTATCAGGTGAGAACACTGTCCCTGGCAGAGGAAACAGCAACTGCAAAGGACCTGAGACAGGGGTGTGCCTGGAGTGTTTAAGGAAGAGCTAAAGGGGCGGTGAGATGCAGACGAAGAAGGATACAAGATGGGAACCGAGAGGACAGGGAGCCAGATCTCCAGAGTGCCATAGTCAAAGACAAGGACCTTGAATTTACTCAAAAGACATGGAAACATGGAAGGCTTTTGATCAAAACTGACCTGCTGTCCTTTGTTTCTGTGTCATCCCCCAGTACCTGTGCATTTCTAGAGGTCTGATAGGTCTCACTCTCCTCTCTCTGACCCAGAGAGGTGCCGGAGAGTGCTAGTGGGCGTCGTACTGTAGAATCAACAGGTGAGTAAACCAACGCTTGTGGTGCGTGTCTCCCACAGGTTGGCTGACTGTGGCCTCACCGCAAAGGGCTTCCAGGACCTGGCCTTTGTTCTGAGCACCAACAGAAGCCTGACCCAGCTGGACCTGAGCTTCAACAAGCTCCTGGACAGCGGAGTCCAGCACCTTTCTCAGAAGCTGAGAATGTACACCTGCAAGCTGCAGCAACTGCTGTAATTGCTCCTCTTTGAAACTAGTTGGAAGGACGGGGCAGAGAGGAAGTGAGAACGTGGCTGGATGGGGTGATATGTTGGGCGGCAGGTGGATGTCCTCGTGTTGAAACGAGCCAAGGCATCCCATGTCAGCTAAGTGGGCATTTAGCAGGGCTGATGTGTTACCAGTTAGACCTAGAGTGCAAGTGGAATGTTGGGTCAATTCATTGTACCAAGTTGATGTGGAGAGGAGCAAGGTTGGCGAGAGTCCCACGGGACTGAGAAGCGGTGACTAGGTGCATCCTTACTGGTGCCTTAGCTGCAGCAGAAAGTTAAAACCTCCCATGTCACTGCAGCCAGACATGCCTTTAGCTTCCTCTCATGTCACAAAGGAACCCCAAAGGGACACATGTACTCGAAAAAAACCAGACCCTTGTTAACAGAGGAGACAGCCTTGTCAACCGTGACGATTGTCCCGTGCACATGTGTCCCACAGGCTGATCAGCTGTGGCCTCACATCTGGCTGCTGCCAGGACCTGGCCTCCATGCTCAGTCACAACCGAAGCCTGACAGAGCTGGACCTGCGGCAGAACGACCTGGGAGACCTCGGCGCGAAGCTGCTCTGTGAAGGGCTCAAGCAGCCCACCTGCCAACTCAGGGGCCTGCGGTGAGTCCCTGTGGGTCCCTGCAGGGCAGAAGGCAGGGAAGGAGAGCGAGGAATGGAAAGGGGTGAGGGCTCTGAGATGGACAGGGAAGTAAAGGGACAGAAAATGAATTGTCAGCCTGTGTTCTCTACCAGCTCTGCCCCTTAATTGGGCCGAAAGAGATGGGCAGGTCTTCCCCTGAGACTCAGTTTCTTCTCCTAGATAATGAAACTGTCATATCCACCATATAGACTGTGATCAAAAAAATGCATTTAACACAGGACAGCTCTGGGAGCAGAGTTGAGGGGATCAAACGATAACAACCAGCAAGGCCACACGTTCCAGGGGACGCCCCTGTCCACCTCCCCACCCCAGGATGCGCTCCCTGCCTTGCTTCGTTGCCTCATCCCTCACTCCCTCATTCCCTCATTCCATGCCTCCCATGTACCAAGCAATGAAAGGAACACATGAGCACCCCCCTCAAGAACGTTTACTGGCTCCTCTTGCCGCCTGCACATGGTCCCAATATCTAATAAGCACATTCAAGAACTACCAGTATCTTGATATTTTCTGTCTTTACCCTCAAACTTCATCTCCCCTCATGCAGCCTTTCTCTCAACATCACTAAACATTAGGTGCTCTGTGCTCACATCCACTCTGCCAGCCGGGAGACTCCACTCCTACCCGCCATTCAAGGCGCCCCTCATCTGCCTGCTCCTCCTTCCTTGCCTGCTCAAAGTTCACCCCGCGTTCCTCTGCCTTCAGCTGCACCCAGCATGCCCCTCTTCAATCTCTTCCAATCATTCATTAAGCACACACTTGCTAAGTTCCTACTGTGTGTGAGACGCTGCACTAGGCACTGGGGTACAACGGGAAATGTAAACTCCTTCCTCATGGAACACCCATTTGTGTGGGAAAAACCAAAAAGTGAATAAATAAGTAAAATATGTTGCATGTGATGTGGGCTACAGAGGAAAGTAAAGCAGAAAAGAATGGGGACTGGAGCTGCAATTATAACAGGGAGGGCGGTGAGGCACGGTTTCCCCAGGGGAGCTTCTGAGCCAATTCCTGAAGCAGGTGAAACAACAGGCCCTGAGGTATCAGGTGAGAACACTGTCCCTGGCAGAGGAAACAGCAACTGCAAAGGACCTGAGACAGGGGTGTGCCTGGAGTGTTTAAGGAAGAGCTAAAGGGGCGGTGAGATGCAGACGAAGAAGGATACAAGATGGGAACCGAGAGGACAGGGAGCCAGATCTCCAGAGTGCCATAGTCAAAGACAAGGACCTTGAATTTACTCAAAAGACATGGAAACATGGAAGGCTTTTGATCAAAACTGACCTGCTGTCCTTTGTTTCTATGTCATCCCCCAGTACCTGTGCATTTCTAGAGGTCTGATAGGTCTCACTCTCCTCTCTCTGACCCAGAGAGGTGCCGGAGAGTGCTAGTGGGCGTCGTACTGTAGAATCAACAGGTGAGTAAACCAACGCTTGTGGTGCGTGTCTCCCACAGGTTGGCTGACTGTGGCCTCACCGCAAAGGGCTTCCAGGACCTGGCCTTTGTTCTGAGCACCAACAGAAGCCTGACCCAGCTGGACCTGAGCTTCAACAAGCTCCTGGACAGCGGAGCCCAGCACCTTTCTCAGAAGCTGAGAATGTACACCTGCAAGCTGCAGCAACTGCTGTAATTGCTCCTCTTTGAAACTAGTTGGAAGGACGGGGCAGAGAGGAAGTGAGAACGTGGCTGGATGGGGTGATATGTTGGGCGGCAGGTGGATGTCCTCGTGTTGAAACGAGCCAAGGCATCCCATGTCAGCTAAGTGGGCATTTAGCAGGGCTGATGTGTTACCAGTTAGACCTAGAGTGCAAGAGGAATGTGGGGTCAATTCATTGTACCAAGTTGATGTGGAGAGGAGCAAGGTTGGCGAGAGTCCCACGGGACTGAGAAGCGGTGACTAGGTGCATCCTTACTGGTGCCTTAGCTGCAGCAGAAAGTTAAAACCTCCCATGTCACTGCAGCCAGACATGCCTTTAGCTTCCTCTCATGTCACAAAGGAACCCCAAAGGGACACATGTACTCGAAAAAAACCAGACCCTTGTTAACAGAGGAGACAGCCTTGTCAACCGTGACGATTGTCCCGTGCACATGTGTCCCACAGGCTGATCAGCTGTGGCCTCACATCTGGCTGCTGCCAGGACCTGGCCTCCATGCTCAGTCACAACCGAAGCCTGACAGAGCTGGACCTGCGGCAGAACGACCTGGGCGACCTCGGCGTGAAGCTGCTCTGTGAAGGGCTCAAGCAGCCCACCTGCCAACTCAGGGGCCTGCGGTGAGTCCCTGTGGGTCCCTGCAGGGCAGAAAGCAGGGAAGGAGAGCGAGGAATGGAAAGGGCAGAGGGCCCTGAGATGGACAGGGAAGTAAAGGGACAGAAAATGAATTGTCAGCCTGCGTTCCCTACGAGCTCCACCACTTACTTGGGCCAAGAGATGTGAGCAGGTCTTCACCTAAGACTCAGTTTCCTCATGTATGTTAGACCCTCATATCCACCTCATACATTGTGATGAAATCAAACACAAGTAAAACCAGGACAGCTCTGGGAGCAGAGTTGAGGGGATCAAACGATAACAACCAGCGAGGCCACACGTTCCAGGGGACGCCCCTGTCCACCTCCCCACCCCAGGATGCGCTCCCTGCCTTGCTTCGTTGCCTCATCCCTCACTCCCTCATTCCCTCATTCCATGCCTCCCATGTACCAAGCAATGAAAGGAACACATGAGCACCCCCCTCAAGAACGTTTACTGGCTCCTCTTGCCGCCTGCACATGGTCCCAATATCTAATAAGCACATTCAAGAACTACCAGTATCTTGATATTTTCTGTCTTTACCCTCAAACTTCATCTCCCCTCATGCAGCCTTTCTCTCAACATCACTAAACATTAGGTGCTCTGTGCTCACATCCACTCTGCCAGCCGGGAGACTCCACTCCTACCCGCCATTCAAGGCGCCCCTCATCTGCCTGCTCCTCCTTCCCTGCCTGCTCAAAGTTCACCCCGCGTTCCTCTGCCTTCAGCTGCACCCAGCATGCCCCTCTTCAATCTCTTCCAATCATTCATTAAGCACACACTTGCTAAGTTCCTACTGTGTGTGAGACGCTGCACTAGGCACTGGGGTACAACGGGAAATGTAAACTCCTTCCTCATGGAACACCCATTTGTGTGGGAAAAACCAAAAAGTGAATAAATAAGTAAAATATGTTGCATGTGATGTGGGCTACAGAGGAAAGTAAAGCAGAAAAGAATGGGGACTGGAGCTGCAATTATAACAGGGAGGGCGGTGAGGCACGGTTTCCCCAGGGGAGCTTCTGAGCCAATTCCTGAAGCAGGTGAAACAACAGGCCCTGAGGTATCAGGTGAGAACACTGTCCCTGGCAGAGGAAACAGCAACTGCAAAGGACCTGAGACAGGGGTGTGCCTGGAGTGTTTAAGGAAGAGCTAAAGGGGCGGTGAGATGCAGACGAAGAAGGATACAAGATGGGAACCGAGAGGACAGGGAGCCAGATCTCCAGAGTGCCATAGTCAAAGACAAGGACCTTGAATTTACTCAAAAGACATGGAAACATGGAAGGCTTTTGATCAAAACTGACCTGCTGTCCTTTGTTTCTATGTCATCCCCCAGTACCTGTGCATTTCTAGAGGTCTGATAGGTCTCACTCTCCTCTCTCTGACCCAGAGAGGTGCCGGAGAGTGCTAGTGGGCGTCGTACTGTAGAATCAACAGGTGAGTAAACCAACGCTTGTGGTGCGTGTCTCCCACAGGTTGGCTGACTGTGGCCTCACCGCAAAGGGCTTCCAGGACCTGGCCTTTGTTCTGAGCACCAACAGAAGCCTGACCCAGCTGGACCTGAGCTTCAACAAGCTCCTGGACAGCGGAGCCCAGCACCTTTCTCAGAAGCTGAGAGTGTCCACCTGCAAGCTGCAGCAACTGCTGTAAATTGCTCCTCATTGACACTACTTGGAAGGACAGGGCACATATAAAATGAGAGTGTGGCTGGATGGGGTATCGGTGGGCGCAGGTAGATGGCCTCATGAAGAAACCCACAAAGGCATTAGGCTGGCTGACGTAGTTAACAGTTGTACACAGTGTGCAAGTGGAATGTTGGGTCAATTCATTGTACCAAGTTGATGTGGAGAGGAGCAAGGTTGGCGAGAGTCCCACGGGACTGAGAAGCGGTGACTAGGTGCATCCTTACTGGTGCCTTAGCTGCAGCAGAAAGTTAAAACCTCCCATGTCACTGCAGCCAGACATGCCTTTAGTGTCCTCTCATGTCACAAAGGAACCCCAGAGGGACACATGTACTCGAAAGGAAAACCAGACCCTCGTTAACAGAGGAGACAGCCTTGTCAACCATGACGATTGTCCCGTGCTCATGTGTCCCACAGGCTGATCAGCTGTGGCCTCACATCTGGCTGCTGCCAGGACCTGGCCTCCATGCTCAGTGACAGCCCCAACCTGACAGAGCTGGACCTGCGGCAGAACGACCTGGGCGACCTCGGTGTAAAGCTTCTCTGTAAAGGGCTCAAGCAGCCCACCTGCCAACTCAGGCGCCTGCGGTGAGTCCCTGTGGGTCCCTGCAGGGCAGAGGGCAGGGAAGGTGAGCGAGGAATGGAAAGGGGTGAGGGCCCTGAGATGGACAGGGAAGTAAAGGGGCAGAAAACGAATTGTAGCCTGCATTCCTACCAGCTCTGCCACTTACTTGGGCCAAGAGAGATGGGCAGGTCTTCCCCTGAGACCCAGTTTCCTCATTTGTGTTTTCAAACTGTCATATCCACATCGTAGCCTGTGATGAAAAAAATGCATACAATACAAGACATTTCTCAGAAGAGAGTGAGAGGATCAAATGATAACCACTGGTGAGACCACATGTCTGAGGGGACTCCTAGGTTCACTTCTCCATCCAAAACAGTCTTCCTTTCCTTCTGTCGTTACCTCATTCATTCATTCATTCATTGTAGGCCTCCCATGTGCCAAACACCAGACACAGGCCCTGCTCTCCTAAAGCTCACACTCCAGTGGCACTAGACAGCTGATAACCACGTATTACACTCAGTGTGTATTTCTAAGCTCCGTGGAGTTTGGGAGGGATAGTGCACTGTGTTCGGGAGTGTAACATGGGGGGAGGATGGAATTAGACTGTAGGCATGGAGGGCTTCTCTGGGGAAGGGACATAAGGCCAAGACCTCGAGCAGAAAGAACAGTGATGAGGCCCAGGCAGGGGCCACAGTCCAGGCATAGAAAATGGCATGGGGAACCCAGGACAGGCACAGGCTCAGAGCCCTGGAGCCCCATGTGGCTGGAGTGCGGGGAACCCACCCACATTCACACACCACCTCTCTCCTCCCTCACCTGAAAATGTTCTGTTTCTGACAACATTTCCCTGTGGCTCCTGGCTGGAGCCCCATAACACACTCTCAGAGCCGACAGGTCCCCAAACCTCTATGTCCTGACTGTGAGGTCTTGATTAAGGCTCCATCCAACTCTCAACAGAGACATCAAAGCTCCAGCCCTCAGCCTTTCCACGCAGGGACCCCTGTTCTCAAACCTAGAGCGGCAGGAGGAGCAGGAGAGCAGGGCTTAAACATGCCACAGGTGGGTCCCCCCAAGCCTGCTCTGACCCTCCTCACCCAAGGGAGCTCCGGTCCACGGGGCTGGCAGCTCACACCCCAGCCCCTCCCCACCAGGCACCTGTGGCGCCACCATCCCTGCGTGTGGAAGGGCCTCTCCAAGGCGGGGCCTGGCAGCACAGTCACGTTCCGCTCCCCAGTTACCGGTCACTTCTTGGTGGCCTCAGGGCAGCTTGCTCTTGGACGTCCTGCGATGGTTTCTGCCCCCTCCTTCCTAGAGCCCCAGGACTTGGGAGAGAGGGACCCCCGCCTGCATCAGGGCCCCAGGCCCTCCCCCGGGGGAGCAGCTCTGACAGCAGGAATGAGCGCGTGCGCGCCCTCTACGGGGAGCAGGGTCGTCTCACCTGCGCGCCCTCGGCCGCAATAGGCAGGGTAGACCCCTCCTGTGAGAGACGAGGACCTGGAGGCCCAGAGAGAGCAGCAGCCCCCAACCCAACGGACACCCCAGGACACGAGGCCTGTGACAATGGGAACAGGCTCTCTTTCTCCAGAAAAACCTTCCAGCCCTAAGCAGGAAATCCCATGTCCCACTCTTATGTGGTCGTTTTGAGGCCAAGGGGGCCGGCTGCAGGGACGGCCACGGCCAATCACAGCCGTCTCCACAAGGTCGCCCCCTTTCTGGGGTGGCTGCTTCCAATGACTGACCAGGGTGAGGACACAAAGACCCGGGCCCTCCTCCCAGTGTGGAGTGGCCCTGGAGGGTCACCCCCACATCAGAAGTCCCGCGGAGTCACTGGGTCCCTTGAGACTGCCGCAGAGCCCGACTTGTCCCTCTGCCCAGTCCTGCTGCTTTCCTTCCTTTGCCCTGGGGCGGACCCAGGAACACTCTCCAATAAACCTCCTAATGCTATTTTCCATCTCAGAACCTGATTTCAAGGATTCCTACCTACACTGAAGGGAAGTAGAAAATTCCATGATTCTAGGCCCTGGGGACCTTGGGATCATGTGGGGGTCCCAGGATACCCAGGCTTCCTTTGTGCTTGCAGCCTGGACCAGACCCAGCTGAGTGAGAAGGTGCAAAAGATGCTGCAGGATCTGAAGCAGGAGAAGCCTCAGCTTGAAGTCGATCTACAGACGTGGGCCATAAGCAGGATGCGTAGAGGTAGGAGGCAGAGACAGACCGAAGCAGGAGGAAGCCAAAAACCCATGGGAGTCCTGGGCCTGACTCAACCCAAGAGTGGTCTGCCGCATTACCAGGACACTGAGGCCACTTCCTCTGAGATCTCAAGGAAATTGTCTGGCTCTCTGTCTGGAGAGAAAAGAAAGAATGTCCCTGAAGAGGCCCCAGGTAGAGGACGGATGGATGACAACACGTCCCGATTCAAATGGCGGAAACTAGAATCAGGTACGGTGAAGGTTCAGGGTGAGAAAATCATGATTTGGGATAAGAGAGCGGGGTGCAGAAGGGCATCCCCTCCATCCCCCACCTCTGCTGTGGGTCCTGGCAAACTGCCCCCTAGGACAGCCCCGCCCCAAGCGAGAACAGCCGCACCTGGAACCTACAGGACCCCTGCTTCCCTCTGTCCCTGCTTCAGGGGCTGAGGCCCAACCCCTCCAGAACATCGGTGGCAGGTCTCAGACTCTGACCAGGGCCCAGTCTCCCAAGGCCCGCTCTGGGCTTCTGACGCCTCGGAGCCCCCTCTCCATCCCCGCCCATCCATTTTATACCCATGTTCCTCTCACAAGCTACCTTCCTGGTGGAGGCTGGGAACAGCAATACCTCTGGACCAGTGGGAAGGGGCAGGTGGCAGTGGTGTGGTCAGGGGGCAGCCGTGTTGGGCCTCCTCAGACAGCAGGCAGGCTGCCCAGGAGCAGGGACAGAGGCTCCAGACACGCTCCCTGACAAGTCCACCAGACCCGCCTTGGGAAGGGCCCTCCATGGTCAAGCCTAGGGCAAAGGGGGACCAGACAGGAGAACCTAATGCTGACCCCCACCCTGCTGTTCCAGATGGGAGCTCCCCTCACGTAGCACAGGTGGAACCCTTCTGTCTGTCTTCTCCCTCTAGTGACTGAAGATGACTTCTTGGGCTCCAGAGGGCCTGTGGCTGCTGAGGTGGTTGACAAAGACAGGGGTCTGTACCGGTGAGTGTGGGGACTCGTTGTGCCAGGATAGTCTACCTCAACCCCCACTGTCCCCGTGCTGGATCCCAACAGGCACTCCATGCCCCACTCGTGGCCCCCTGGGTCCCCTCCCATTGCCACGCCTCCAGGCGGAGACAGGGCTGAGAAACTGGGTTGGTGATTTTATTATGGAAAAGGGGACCCTTTTTTATTACAAAAAGTTGCAAACAAACACAAAAATAGAGTCCAAAGAAGTTCCACTTGCTGACTACTCATCTCCAACAATTGTTTTGTTTCAACTATTCACTTTCCCCCATTTTGTTGTTATATTATTTTAAATCTAAGTTATCAACTGATTTATCCTTAAATATTTTGTGGTGCACTTTGAAAAATACAAATAAAGGCCTTTTATTCCATAAACACAATACCATTACCATATCTAACAATGTTTACAAATTATTTTATTGTCATCTAATACCGAGTCTGTATTCAAATATGCTCAGTTGTCTAAAATGTGTCCTTGCATGTAGTCTGTTCTAATGAGTTCTAATGTTCAAACAAAGTGCACTCATTGTATTTGGTTTATTATGTCTCATAAACTTCACTTAAATCCCATTCCATCTATATATTCTTTTTTTATAAATACCTACTATGTGCAAAGAATACCACTAGTAAAGAAGCATGATGCAAATATGGCAGCCCTGCCTTCCAAGGATTCCAGTCAATAGTAATAAACATCGACAATGTCAGTGCCCATCTATTAAAAAACACAGTGTTATTCACTTTCACAGACATGATCTCAGCTGGGAGATAATATTACCCCGAATTTACACACACAGAAGCTGACATCCCAGGAACCCACTCTTTACCACCGGAGAACCTGGAGAACATTCACAATCTCTGTAGTGTTTCTTTATACTCTAACTGGTTATCGTTCTATTACCATATAAATTGCTTCAAATATTGAAAATGGGCCCCTTAAGAACAGTAAGCCTTCCCTATTGTGTTATTATTCATATTACTATTATTCCCATCATCATCGTAGGGACAGCTCACCTCGCCCAGGCCTGTCCGAGCTGCCAGCACACACTGGGGCACTTACTGCTCACAGCTGCGTGAGATGGTGCTCTTCTCACTTTACTTCCACAGGAGAAAACTGAGATGAGGGAGGTTCAGGGACTTGCTCAGGGACCCACAGCGGAGAGCAGAGGGGTCAGGACGCAAACCCAAATCCCTCTGACTGTCGGATCTGAACTCGCAGCCACTCTGCGAGACACACAGTGCCCTGCATGGGGTCGGTGGGGTTGGACACACAGCAGGTACTCGGTGAGGTTGTGTAGAGCGATTAATTCACTGCCTACCCCTTCCTGTTTTCCCAGAGTTCGCTTCCCCGTGGCTGGCTCCTACCACTGGCCCAAAACGGGTCTCCACTTTATGGTGCTGGGACCAGTGACCATTGAGATTGAATTCCGTGCTTGGAAAGAGTTCCTGGACCAGATCGTCCCACAGCACAGCTGGATGGTGGCCGGGCCTCTGTTTGACATCAAGGCCGAACCAGGAGCCGTGGCAGCTGTGTACCTCCCCCACTTCGTAGATCTCCAACGTGAGCAAGTAGGGGGTGTGGAGGGAAGGTGATGGTGGAAAGAACGGGCTGGAAATGTCTTCAGCTGGCAATGTCCTGAGGGGGAGCTTGTGGCTTCCTGAGACAGACTGAGGGCCGGGAGGGTAGGGAAGTGCAGACAGCTTTCTCTCTTATTCTACAAGGTTTAGTAAACAGTGGAAGCTGCTCATCAAGAGGAGAACATGGATACAGGAGAAACAGAGGAAAGGGCCAAGGAGAAAGACTCGTGGGTCCAGGAGCACCTGGCTTGACAGACAGGGCCATGAGGGAAGGTTCTGTAGGGAAGATTTGGGAGTAAACCCTAGGGAGGGAGGTGTGAGGTAGCTCAGGTGCTGGTAAGGCCCATTCACATGGGGAAGTTGAGGAGAAAAGTCACCGCAGCAAACATCCTGCCCCTTCTGCAAAGTGAGACCTTGGCCCAGGGCATGTCCAAGGGCTCTGTCAGGGAGACAGGGGCTTGGCCCATGGAATCAATAGGTTTGGCTCTGCCCAGCAGCAAGAGAACTTGGTCTGCTCTTGGCCTGGATGCTCAGGCCTACACCAACTCTCCCCGCTCACACCAGAATATTCCAGGACAAACCTCAGGTGTGTAAGGCCTGGAGCCAGAATCTAACAACTGGACAAGATGTGCCTTAGCTCCTGCTCCCAGCCCCCCAGTTACGCCGCTGCCTCATGGGTGGGTGAGCTGGCCCCTCTCTGTGATGAGGACACCCTAGCCTTGCCCTGGTCTATATCATGCTTCCTTCTGGCTGGCCTGGAAAATGGGGTTTTCCCAAGGAAGAGGAAACTGTCCACTCACACAGGAATCAGACCTAAGCCTTTGAGGCTGAAGGCCACATCAGAACAGGAGTGAATTCACCTGGTAATAGCATTCTCCTTTGAGGGCTCCTGGGACATGGTGAATAATTACAACTCTGGACAATTACTGAGCATTCTCTGTTTGGTATCATGCAAGGCAGCTCCGTATATCTTATCATCTTCATTGCCCTAATGATACACTGAGTTAAGTACTATGGTTTCCCCCATTGTATATGTATGAGGAAATCGAAGCTCAGAGATGTAAAGATGATTGGCCAGAATTGGGATTCTAACCCAGGTCTATGACCACCAAGAACAGCTCCACCCACGCCCATGCCAGGGCTGCCCAAGTCCATGTCCACCAGCTTTCTCTGGGCCACATTCTGCACCTTACCCTGTAACGAGACAAGGCCTTTCCCTTGGGATACTATACAGAAAGCAAGAAGCAAAATGCAGAAAGTCTCCCTGTAGCTCACTGTGTCAGGCCCGGCCAGGGAACCAAGCCCCTTCCAGGCTTCCCCATTGCCTGCTGTCTGGCTGAAGCTGCTTCTTGCCCTGGAAACAATGACCTCAGTGCCCAATAGTGGCCTCATGGGAGGCTATTTTCCTTCATCAGTGAGGTCCTACATAAAGTTCTTAACCTTCTCAGTCCTAGGCAAGCTAAACAGTTGGCCTCCCCAGCAAGAAGTCCCATTGGGTGCACACACAGCACATTCCAGAATTCAGCCAGCATTGGCGAGGCACAGAGTGTCTGCAGGGGCCGCAGGCTGTGGGCAGACTGCAGGGCTCCCACCCCAGGGTTCTGGCTGGCTTGTGACCATGAGAAAAAGACATCACTTCTCCAGTTTTAGTTCCCCATCTGACACATCAGGACATTCCTGTTCTGTTGAGAGCAAGGTGACCTCACCCACTGAGTGTCACCAAGGTAGGGCCAAGTGCACCACCTCTTAGAGAAGCAAGTTGGCAAAATATGGCAATTCATGGAAATGTTCACATCCTTTCATATGCTTTCCTCATCCCTTGGGACTAACCAATTCCAAGGCACTAACCCAAGGGAAATAGAGAGGTTCTCTGCAGAAACATGTGCGTCGCAGGACTGTCTATCGTGGAGAACAGGTGGAAACAACCTCAGCACCGAAACAAGAAGGCAGTGGTGAACCAGGGATGGTGCATCACAAGCAGGGATCATGTGCTGCGGGCCTTAGAAAGGTCTGCAGGGGCTTGTGACAATTTAAACCATTGTGGGAAAGACAGGGGACAAAGCTCCATGCTGTGATGCAGGTGTCGCTGCAGAGAGAGACTAATGAAACAGGCAAAGACGGGAATGAGAGCGGCGCTGCTAGGTGAGGTCAGAGGTAAAGGCGTCTGCATTTTGTCAGGTGGTGTGCACCTCTGTGATATTCTTTTTCATGAGAAACAGAGACAATTTTTACCATGGAACCTGGGTTCTTGAACTTAATTTGTTCCAGAGGGCTGTTTAAGAAGTGATTTGTTTGAAAACTCAATTATACCTAAGAGATGTGTGATTGATCATACAGGTAAAAACATGGAAGGGTTGTTGAGTTGAGAACCGAAGTTTTGTTTGACATCTGAGACATTTTTTTCTGTGAACAATGTGTTTGAGAACTTAATTGTTCGATATGGAGATGTTTGAGAACGAAGGTTTGAGAAAACTGAAGTAGCCATCTCCCCCGCCCCTCCTAAAATGAACATCCGTCAGCAGTGTTCTCACTGGTACCCATGAAGACTGAGGGGCTGTGAGCCTTACTCAATGTCCCCGGGTTGCCCAGAAACCTCCTGCATCGCAGCAGTTTCCAGGGATGGAGCCAGGACTCCAGACACCTAGGCCAGTGACACTCCCACTACCAGGCTTCATCCCTCGAGCTCTCTTGTGGCATCAATGTTCGCACCTGGTGCACCAGTCAGAGATCTTGGCTGCAGTCAAGAAAATAAAACTAGCTGATTTAGGCAGAGAAGGAATGTCTAGGGAGAATATCGAATAGCTCACAGGCACACCAAGTGATTAGGCAAAGAGTCTTAAAGAAAAAATAGCAGTAACCTAAAATGCTGGGAATCCAACGTTGTCACAAGAAAAATGGAAAGACCTCTGCTGCAGACACAGCGCCTGCAGATCCCTCCTGCACGGTGGCCGCTGGACTCTCGAATCCATGGCTGCCACCAAAAGAATCTCTGTCCTTTCATCTGTGCGTCATCACCTCCAGATCAAGATCCTGGTTAGAAACATCACTTAGTCAAGTCCTGGCCACACAGCTGGGTCATCGCCTCATGGGGGCAGCAGGTTCCCACGGGAAGACCAAGCTCGAGGCCTGCCCTGACCCGCACAGTGATGGCGGAGGAGGTTCTTCCACCAAAGGAAGAATCTGAAGGGAGGGTGACAGACACTCCACAGTGCACACTACCCATGTACACTCCATCTCCCACTGCAGTTTTTCCTTACTGTTCTCTGCCTGCCAGAAGTCAGGCCTGCAAGCTGCACTCAGCAGACCTCATTGTTAGAGAATCCAGCACAGGTAACCATGGGTCAACACATCCCCCGGATCCAGCACCAGGGGCTGAGTAAGGTTTAGCCTGAGGGGCTTCCCCTGGTGCTCCCTCTCTAGCGAACCCGTTGCCAGCAGCTGCAGTAAAACCCAGGCCCAGTCCTGCCGGCTTTCCGAGCTGGGCCACCCAGGGAGGCCGCTGAGCCTGCACCTGAGGCCCACACTGCCCCAGCCAAGCCTGACTCAGCGAGGGCATTAAATCCCTGTTTCTCAAATTCATTCTTTTCAGGAAAAAACATGGACAAATCCTGGTTCCAAGTGGCCCACATGAAAGAGGAGGGGATAGTCCTGGAGAAGCCAGCCAGGGTGGAGCCACACTACATAGTCCTGGAGAACCCCAGCTTCTCCCCCATGGGAGTTCTTCTGAGAATTTTCCGGGCTGTCCTGCCCATTCCCATCAGCTCCAATGTGTTGCTCTACCATCACCTCCATCATGAGGGCGTCACCTTCCACCTCTACCTGATTCCCAACGACTGCTCCATTCGCAAGGTGGCACCAAAGCCAGAAAGGCGGGGCCAGGGTGGGCTGACAGACACATGACTTGCCCCCAGACGTACCCCTTTGGGTCAAAGGGGCAGGAGGATGCACCTCTTCAGCAGGGAGGTCGAAGGAGATGAGCCGTCCTGGCCCTGCTCAGCCATGGACTGGTTTCCGAAGCTCCCCCGGCCGGGTGCACTGCTCCCTCGCTCACCTCTGGACACATCACTCATCACTCACAGCTCACCAGCCTCTTTCCTGGGGTCAGAGGACGGGAGGGTTCCATACCCAGAGCTGATCCCTTTCTTCCACTCTCACTTCTTTCCTAATCCTGCTCAAAACTGGCTGTGAACATGGCAGAGGCAAAGTGTGGGGCTCTCTGTGTAGCCATCGGGGGAGCGGGTGCGGATAACCAAGGGATCAGAACCCCATGGAGGGTATAGACCCCTCCACACACAGAAACACGTGGAAGCATCACTTCACTTTGCTCAGATCACACTCCTCAGGGCAGAGTCTCTGAGCCAGACCCAGACGCCCTCCTCCCCTGATCTGTGTTCTGTGTGCCCCTTAGGCCATAGATGAAGAAGAAAAGGCATTCCAGTTTGTGCGACTACACAAGCCGCCCCCAATGACACCATTCTACATGGGCTCCCGATACACTGTGTCTGGTTCACAGGAGATGGAAATTATCCCACAGGTGAGCAGCCCAGATGTTCCCCCCTCTAATGTCAGAGGTCATACTTGGGAATAGCTGTGGGGCTGGTCTCAGAGCTTTCGGGGGACAGGCCCAACTGGGGTAGGGCTGTCAGCAAGTGAGATCTGGGGTGCGAGGGAAGGCTTCAAAGACTGGGGGAAAGAAAGCCAGTTGGAGGGAGGGTCACATTGAGGGTAGGGACAACAATGGGGGGGACTTAGGGCTACAGCGTTCAATTATTTCCAAATAGCACTGCCAGGATCTCACCTGCAGTTAATTCACTGGGGTCAGTGCTCATCGCTGCCTGAGAACACGCGCCAATGGGAACCTTGGGCCTCTCAGGACAAGGGTCTCAGAAAGAACCTATTGGTGATTGGGGACAAGGTTGGGTAACTTGGGGGAAGATCTAAGGAAACGGAGGTTTGCTCTAGATCTGGAGCTGTCAGAAGGCAGTGAGGGTCTGTCGTTGGGAACATCAGTGACTTTGTCTCCAGGGAGGGCAGGCTCAGCCAGCACCAAGCTATAATTTCATAAGGAACAGTCACCAGTGTGGTGAGGCTGTTCGTGTTTGGCATTTTGTGGGTTGCACAGCGCCCTGTCTACAAGGGACATTCTGAGATTGTGTATGTCCAACAAGAGGACATCAGGGCAGAGGTGTCAGCACAGGTGCATTTCTAATGACGCTGAGGTCCAGCCGGGAGCATCAGATCAGTGCCTGGACATCAGGGGCTGGCTTTGTCCTCTCTCAGTCTCCCCTTTCCACCAGGGGTGGACACAGTCAGGCCACTGGACATTCATCCGTGACCTCCACCACGGCCCTGATTATGCTGCTCAGGGTCAGGGCGTCCACTGAAGGACAGTCTGTGGTGGAACCAGGGTCAGTCCTCTTCCCTGCTGTTGCCAGACGAGGCTTTGAACTCTCTTAAGTGACGATGACAGGTGGAACGGATATACAGTACTTAGGAGGAAATGATATGTGTCTTTTCAGTAGGGACACATGAACCAAGGGATAAATATCTTACACTTTCCTGCTGTGTCAGTTGTTAACACAGGACGAGAGACATGACTCAGTCATTCAACAAACATGCACCCACTGCCAACTGTGCTGTCTTCAGTTGGTACCGTCATAGAACAAGACAGAAATGCCATGCCCTTCAGAAGATGACATATGGTGGTATGAGCTCTATACAAATAAAAAATTTGTGACCAAAAACCATGAAGTGCTGTGAGCAAAGCACAAACCAGGCCGTTTGAGACAATAACTAGGGCTACTTTACGCTGGGTGGTTTGGGGCAGTGTCTCTGAGGAGCCACATTTGAGCTGAGACCTGAATGACAAGAAGGATTCTGGACATTGGAGATTTGTGACAGAGCCCTACAGGAACAGAGGCAGAGAGGAGCAGGCCCCCTTGACACCTCCATGTGACAAAATAGAGGTCAGTGTGGCGGAGATCACTGACTGCTCAAGGGGAGGAGGTAGAAGGGGTCACACAAGAGACAGGTTTCCTGGGGCCCATTGACCACGTTGCCCAGATGTGGAGTTTGGATTTTGATCCAAGTGCAATGACCATGTCTTAGAGGGTCTTACTGGCAATACAAGACCTGATTTAGTTTCATGCAGATGCCTCTGGCTGCTGGGGAAGAATGGATGATAAGAAGTTGAAAGTAAAAACAGAAAATAAGTCAAAAGGCTAATGCTACAGTGCAGACAGGAGCTGATGGAGACTTGACGAGGGCAGTAGCAGTGAGGTGAAGGGAAGTTGATGGATTCAGGGATGAGCTGAAGGTAGAGCCAACAGGACTTGGTGTACGGGAGAGAATGGTAGGAGATAAGGACGGTGCCTAAATCTAGAACAAGAGCTCCCAGTGGGTGGTAGTGCCATTACTGAGTGTGGGAAACTGGGGAGGGAGCGTGTTTGGAAGACAGTTGGGAATCAAGAATCTGTCTTCAATGTGACTTAGAAAGGGGGATGGATATCAGTTTTCTCTTGGTTGAAAGTGGATCATGCATAGGATCCATTGAGAAGTCAGGCTGTGGGCTGGAGAAATGAGGATTTGGGGTGAGGGTGAGGGCGGTGGAGGGAGAAGGTTCTGGCTCAGGGTGCGTGAGCGCGACAGTGGAGGAGCCCTGACTCATCCATGGGGCACCCAGCTGTGTCCTCTTTCTTCTGGGTCAGAATGTGTGGAAATTGAGGAAAAGAGCAGAGCCTAAGGTGGCGATTAATTTCAGTACAGGTCATCCAAGGGTCTCCCTGGGGCTGAGGAGGCCCAAGAAGGCGTCAGGTGGGGAGAGACGTCACTTGCAGGATGAATGGTGGCTTCTCACGTGACATCTCCTTCTACAGGAACTGGAGCTCTGCTATCGGAGCCCCGGGGAAGCCCAGCTCTTCTCTGAGTTATACACTGGCCGTCTGAGGTCACAGATCAGGCTGTTCCTTAGACACAAAGAAAAAGGAACTCTGGTATGGGAGACCTTCGTGACATCAGGTAAAGTCAAGACAAGTGCAGGGAAAAAGTGAGTTATAGAATATGTGTGTGTGTGTGTGTGTGTGTGCGCGCGCGCGCATGAGCGAGAAAGAGAGTTTGCATTATTACAACGTGCTAATGAAAATAGCCCAGAGAAGTTAATTTTTCTAGTTACATAACAATAGCATGGCCAGAATTTGAACTCAGATTAATCTGACTCTAACCTCCATTCCACCTCCCACCCACTCTCATAAATCCACACTGTTCTGTGTTAACAGAGCTTGATACTCATAAAGCCTCTGGCAAATTTTTCATACTAGATGGGATGTGGCTGAAAGAATAAGATGTGGATGATAATGTGATTGTATGAATTAGGACAATTTTGGCAATAGCACATATTCTACCCTGGGTCCTTAAGCTTTCTTCACAGTAGACAAGAATTAAATAATAAAATTTCAGAAATGAATAACACTTTACCGTTTTCTAAATGAGCACAGACTCCCCCAAGAATGTCCACTAAACATTCTTCTTGTCAGGTAGAAATAGACTAGATGTGCCTCCTGAGCCGCTACCAGGGCTTCCCAGTGGGGAGAGAGGGAGCGGGTTTCCCTGAGTCTCGCTCGGGCACCGTCACAGGTGTGGACTAACAGGCCCAGCATCAGACCTGGGTTTAAGTCTCAGTCTGGCACTTACTTGCTGGGTGAATTGGGGGAAACTATTTAACTCTTCTGAGTCTCCAGTTCATTTACAAAATGAAGATCATAATACCTAACTTGTATTATTGCAGAAAAAATTAAACTACTGATGTATTGAATGTCATCTCAAGCAGCAGTCCTTAATAAATATAGCAGTATTGTTATTTTCTCTCACATCAAACCAGTCTCTTCTTCCCTCAGACTTATTTCTGCCCCTCACAGCTGATGGAGACTCCATCTCCATCCCCGTAGGAAAGCCTTTCAGACACTTGACTGATCGTAGCCACCCTTAGGTCTCCTACTATGCAAGTTGAACACCTCTAGTTGCTTCCATCATTTCTTTTATATTTTGCTTTTTCAAAAATTTGCCACACCAGTCACCTTGCTCAGCAGATGTGCCCATCTGAGGATGAGCCAGGATGGACTCTAAGGCCGTCCAGTCAGCATGGAGGACGGGGATCTCCCCTCTCCCTCCATCCATATGCACCCGGGCTCCCAGAACCACAGCCAGAGCTCCCCTGCGCTAGAGCTCACCCCCCACACTGTGCGGTCACGCTGAACTTGGGTGGGCCCGCACTCTCAGGCCGACTCCACAGGAACTGCTTTCCTTGTGCAAATAATTCTAATGCCCTTCTTTCCTTGTTACTGTTGTTTGTTTTTTTCCCACTGAAATTAACCCATTACTTCCAGTGCTAAGACTTTCTTCATCTTGAATCTTGATTCTCACATCAAAATCCAAAATAAACAGTGTGAGTCTATTGGGTAGGGCAGGAGAGAGTATTTGGAGGAAAATGGGGACAACTGCAACTGAACAATCATACAAAGAAAAAAAAAAAGCAGTGTGAGTCTAGAAGGCCAAGGACAAGGAGGTAGACTTCCACTCAGAAGAGAAGATCCCATGGTTGAAGCTATCTACCAAAGACTCAGTTATTTCTCCGCCAGGGTTCCATTCAGGCCAAGACTGAATTAAAACATGTCTTTAGTGTTGAGGGAGAAATTATTCCTTCCCTCTCTCTTTCCCTCTCCTCTCTTACCTTGGCTTCTGGGCCTCAGTTTCCCCATATGCAAGAAGAATGGAGTCACCTGCAACCCTTTCTCTAAATTCTATTAGAATTAGTCTGTAGCTTATTCAAGGAATCCAAGGATCTGAGAAGTAAGACATGTGTAGCAGTTTCAAGGATTATCATTTGTGCTAATAACGACCAGTGTTACTGAAGCCTCTTCATATCCGTTTTCTTCCAGGAGACCTCAGACCTCCACGCCTCACTGGTGAGTAACAGCTAGTGGAGACCACAGAAGCCGTGGAAGTTCTGGGGTGTGCTATCTGCTCCTGGGGGAGATGGAAGGGAGGGAGCAGAGAAAGGAAGAGGCTCTATCATTGCAAACTCTACAAGGGATCAGGCCTTGGACAGTGGTGTGTGTCCCCGGAGCTGAGTTCTTCCCCATCCTTCTTATTCTTGCCCGTGGAGACCCTGGCACTTTCCACAGAACAACCCCAAAGGCCTCCTTCATGAACCCAACCCCACACCCAGCTCCCGCAGAATGCTGGCCTGGCAGCTGACATGCAGGGAGCAAAGGTGTCTCTCTGGTGGTCAGTGTGTTCACAAGGGGAGGACCCAGGGAGGCAGAAGAGGTGAGTGAAGAGTTAGAGGTGGGGAATCGGAAGTAGCCTCCGTAGTGGAAGCTCTTCTTTATTTGTTGCCAACCTCACATTCAACCCCAGGTGCCCCAGATGAGCTGCACTTTGTGGACCGGCATCGGGAGCAGCTGGTGACTCGAGTAACATCAGTAGACACAGTCCTAGACAAGCTATTAGGACAGATGCTAAGTGACGAGCAGTACCAGAAGGTGAGGGCTGAGCGCACCAATCCAGCCAAGATGAGGATGCTGTTCAGCTTCAGCAACTCCTGGGACAAAACCTGCAAAGATAAACTCTACCAAGCCCTGAGGGAGACCGAACCTTACCTAATTAAGGATATCAGAGAGAGGGGGGCCATGGGCGAGAACAGGCAGGGGTCTTCACCCGGTTGTGAGTCCTGACTCTGCCTCACCCCTTTTGGGTCTCAGCTTCTTCACCTCTACACAGATTGCCTTCTGACTTGCCTCTTTTATGAAGTCATGGAACGTCAGTGATGCCTTTGCTGCGCATTACATGTCCGTGCCCAAGATCGCCCCGCGGGCGCCCAGGCTGCCTCCTTTGGCTTTCATGGGCCAGCTGCCCAGCTGAGATGACAGCATCTCAGGGGATGTGCATGTGCAGCTGGGCAGGACGTCTGCAAACCTTGTAGGAGCCTCACCCCAGATCCTCGTCAGTGGCCGCCACAGCCAGGCTTCGAGCCCCCTCTGTGCCGTCCAGGTGTGGGGAGGATCAGGGAGAAATGGAACCGGCCACCTCTGCTGGACACAGACCATGGAAATGGACACCTTGGGGGGTTTAAATGGCTTGTAAAAAGGGCCAAAAACATTTATTTTTTACTTGTCAATGTTGAGCTTGGATTTTCTAGTAGCTCAAATGGTGATTTGTGGTTTTTGATATTTAGATGGTTTCCTAGAGCCAGAGGAGGGTGAAAAAGAAGGCCGTGGGGGAGTACCGTCTAGGTCTTAGCTTCGATGACTTCCGCTGGGGGCAGTGAGGCCCTGTCCCGGCAACTGGCTCAGGCACCCCTGCCCTGTGCTCCCGGAGCACCCTGTGTCCCCCCCACATCAGAGCGCTCAGCACAGGGCATGGTCCCTATTGCATTTCTGCTGGTCCCTCCCCACTAGATCGTAAGCATTCAGAGGACAGGAACCATGTCTAAGCAGATTATTGCCAGGGCCTAGGACAGTCCCTCACACACAGTGGGTTTTTTATTAAGTGGGGGTTTATGAGTAGGTACATGATAGGGGGACATTCCCCAAATACACCCTTCAATTCCCTTCCTGGCCACCATACTGTCCGTGGAATTCAAAGGCCCACCTTAGTAATAATTCCCCCATTAGCAGGCCACCCCCTTGGCCCAGTCAATCAGTAATCTTAGAATTAAACCCATTGGTGTTGAATCATTTGTACTGATGTTGTTCTCCATCGGTGAGAGCAAAGCTCCTCTCAGGTTGCGCCTGCCCAATATACAGCAGCCCAAGTTGATTGTACCTCCCTCCCCACTTTGTCACCCTCCCCCCTCAGAGTCACTTCTTCCTGCCATCTACTTGGTCTCACCCACTTTCCTTACCCTCGACCACGCAGCCTAAGTTGTCTATTCTTTGGCCTCCCCAACCATGCTGGTTGTTATAAAGGTTTAATGAGACACATGTATGAGTTCAGATGAGTGTTCAGCTCCTAGAGAGTACGGTTAAGTTTGGGTATAATCTTTTGGTTTCACTGCTCACTGAGTGGATGAAGAGGTCAGCATATCCAGCCTTCCACAACAACAACAAAAGAGAGAGGTTAGGGCACATACAACAGAACAATAATAATAATAATATTAGAGAAGGGAAAAGACAACACCTGTGTCAGCTGTCCCAATAGCTTCATAAGCTCATGCAGAGGAGCCAACTTGTAGACTTTTTTGCCCAGGCCACATGCTACCACGTGCAATACATTTAGGTGACTCTGTCGGGACCTTCCTGGGACTCAGGCAATTCCTGAACTTTGGATCTAAGCTCTTGGAGATGTGCCCTATGAAAGTAGAGTTTGGCAGGACACCTGTACTTGAAAAGGATGTTCTTTCCCTAAGATTCAAGAAGCTGGGGTTGCTTTCTGGTCCCAGGTAGGATAGGCCTGTGCAGAAAGGGAAGTATCGTCAGCACTCTCACCCTAAGACTCTGGCACGCCTCCTCCAAGGACAAAAAGGGGGCACAGTGAACTTGCTATTTGAATGTAATCCAGGCCAGCTGCCCGTGAGGACAGTTTCTGTTGAATGTATTCTGAATTTAATGTTCTCAGTGTTATTAAGAGAGAACAATATGCCAGTATGCCATAGAATTTATTTCTGCACCAAATGGCCAGGGCCCCCTGTAAGTCCGTGAGGAACAGGACGAATATTCTCAGGAGAAGCCTCTTTACTCCTGTTGCCTTGCACTGGGCATCACGTTGCACGGGACAGAGCCCATTTATAGGTTCTCATTTATTTCATTCTCAAGGTCCAATCCAGATCCTCACACAGGGAGCTCCACCCTCTCCTCAGGAAGCTAATGGTGAGGCCTGGTAGCTCAGGGCCTGTCCCAGGCACTGCCCTCCAGGTTTTGACTCCCTGCTGGGGCCGTGACTGTTGTTGGGGCCACAGGTCAGAGGGTCACTGCAGGCGGGGTGTCTGGGGTCAGCCTCCCCCTCCTGCCACGTCACCTCTAAGTGCGGCAGGTCAGTAAGAAGCGAGAAAAATTCCTTCACAGTGGATTGAGGGAAACAGAGACAAAGGAGGTAGGTGAACAGCTGAGCAACTAAAGCCAGATGAGGGGTCACAAGTCCCTCTCCTCCCACACCAGACCCTGCGAAGCGGATGGTTCACACCTTTCCTCCTCAACCAGACTGCGGGTAGCTTCAATCACCCAAGTCAGGGACATAGATGACAGAGACCCAGCTTGTGCCACTAGTGCCGGACCAATCCAAAAAGTAAGGAAGTCAGATGGATAGAAAAGAAAAACCAGTCATAGCCAGACAAATGCAGGACAGAGGAAAAGCTGTCCAAAGTATGATCCCAAACCCCGCTAACCTCATTTATGCATCAGCATATTAGAGGACACACCTGGGAAGCTGATGGATATTCCTACTGAGACCTCCCTTAAAATTTCCACCTACAGAAAACAGATAAAAGAGGACTAAAGACCCAGGGCACTCTTCCCCCTCTGCCACTTTGGTCAGGCGCATAATGTTGCATTCTTCCTCCTAAGCTCAGAGTCCTCCTCTCACCTAACTTTTCAGGGAGCAAAAGCAGCCCCGCCTCGGCTCCATGCTGCTGCTGGTACTGCCTTCCCTGAGTCCAGGCGGCCCAGCCCAGGCTCACTTCTGTTACTGTGTCCTGCTTCTTCCATCATGGGCCCTCCCTTTGATTCTGTCCTAAGCTTTACTAAACAAGCTCTCAGAACCACCTGAGCTTCTGTCTTGAGATCTGTCCTGCACAAAGTCAAGACAGCACCTCCCAAGCTGTGCCGAACAGACTTGCCCCAGCCCGGTCCCAGTTCATTTTTGGTGAACTAAGACGTGCCACACTTTTAGCCCTGGATGGACTGGCTCAGTGGGTTGAGCACTAGCCTGCAAACCAAAGGGTCACTGGTTCAACTCTCAGTCAGAGCACATTCCTGGGTTGTGGGCCAGGTCCCCAGTGCGGGGGCGGGGAGGGAGCTTCAGAGGCAACCACATTGATGTTTGTCTCCCTCTCTTTCTTTTTTCCTTCCCCTCTCTAAAAATAAATAAAATCTGTAAAAAAAAGAAAAAAAGAAAAAGAAAGAAAGAAAGAAAGAAAGAAAGAAAAAGAATAAGAAATGCCTGACTTTTGGGGCAACCCAAATTGCCCTCAACAATTGCTGAGGGTACGAGGACATTACCAGCAGCCCCAGAATGTGTTCAGGCGGCGAGAGAACACAGGCACCTGTGAGGCTGAAACCGGACAGGCACGAACACTGAAGTCACAGTCTGCCAGTGCGGCCACCCATCCCTGTCCTGTTCTCTAAGTCTTACATGTATGAGTTACTTAACCCTAATGACAAGTCTGGATAGTCTTGTTCTCCACAGAAACAGATCCCATAGGATGTGCGTATGCACAGAGGGAGATGGAGTGTAAGGCGTTGGCTCACACGACCACGGGGGCTGGCAGGCCCACCATCGGCGGCGGGTGGGCTTGTGGACGAGACCCAGGGCGGCGCTGGCACAGCCGTCTGCCCGCAGGGCTCCCGGCGGCTCAGGGGGGTCGGGCTTTCCTCCTGTTCCGGCCATCAGGTGATTACAGGAGGCCGGCCACGCTCTACTAAGCCCAATGTTACTAATTCCAATGTTACACATTTAAATGCTCATGGCATCTAAAAACACCCTCACAGAAACATCCAGAGTAAAGTCTGACCCACTATCCGAGCACTGTGGCCCAGTCCAGCTGACATAAAATTAACCATCACAAACACCGTGACGACAGATACTACTATCATCCTCCTGCTGCAAATAAATGGAGGCAGAAAGGCGGTAAGCGATGTCCCTGAACTCTCACAGAAACCAAGGGGTGGACTTGGAGCCCACCCCCTGGCAGCTGGCTCCAGAGTCAGCCTCCTGCCGCGCCCAGGCCTCGGGGAGAAACCGGGCTCCCCGGCAGGGAGAACAGGGAGCGGCACGTCCACCGCAGAGGCCTCTGGGGCTGGTGCGGCCCTGCTCCCTGCGGGCCCAGCAGGGAGCTCTGAACTAGGTCACTGTTTCTCACTCTCAGACAAGCTGTGACGGCCTCCCACGGGTGGGACGCAGCCAGTGGCTGTTTCCAGGTTCTGTATTCTGCACCCTCGGAGGCATCTGTGCCAATGTCTTACACCAGCGCCCGACAAAGATGACATTAGTGTTGGGACCAGACGCCCCTATCCCACAGCGGGGGGACCCAGGTCCGCCTGCCCCCAATCACCCACCCCCAGGTCCCCTGACACTGGGCCAGTCCACTCCCTTCGGAGGAGCCGCCCCCTCACCTCTGCCCGCAGGAGCTCAGTGTCTGGGGACCCGGTCCCTTCAGCAGAGGCTTTAAATGTTTGCTGTCCTGCACGACGGGAGCAGGCTGGGTTAGGCCCCGGCACCTTGGAAACGCCGCGCCTGAGGGAAGCCTGGCTCTGAGGGCGGCGAGGGTGACGCCTGCGTGCGGCCAGGACGGCGCGCGGCGGGCGCCTCCTGAGCGGCCCGCCTGCCCTCCCCCCTTTTTCAGGACGGCCCCCCACGCCCCCACAGGCCGAAGGGCACAGGAACAGCCATGTTTACACAACGGGCCCTTTTCCCCAACCGCGGAGAGGTGAGCGGGCCACGTCCTGGGAAGGACAGAGAGAGCCGGCCTGGAGGGGCCGGGCACGGAGCCCGCCGGTGGGGAAGGGAAGCGGCGGTGAAG